TAGCAGCACCGGCCCTGGCCTGCCTCGCTTGTGTGTGTTCAGTCGAGCGAAGCAACAAATACCTCTGCTCAGAAAACCCACTCGAGTCACTCCGGGTTACGTTAAGGCCAACGTGTTGATGGTGAAAATTCTCGTCGTTTTAAGTCTTGGGTCCGGTTGTGCACAAACTTTACTTTTTGGTTTGACATAAGTAGTTACGTTACAAGATCCAGAAAAGATACAGGACTGTTGAAAACACCTAAAACCCCATGTAAGGCTACTCAAGGAGCAGCAAATATTCCACGCCTGAACTGGCTTTAGGCAGATAAAGGGAATTGCTTACTAGAGAGAGCTGCTGCTTAGGGTGTGTTTGAGGCCCATGCTTTACGTATTTAAGAGATGTTCTATTATGGCTGCTTTTGGTACCAAGAGAAATGGCCAATGTTGGCCGTGGACTCCAGGCATGCCCGTGGCAGAGGCGAGTGGTGGGACAGCCCTGGCGCTGAGCTGCCTCCCCAGACCTCCAGGTGAGCATTGTTAATTTTTCACCCAGCCCTGTGGAGCGGCAGACAAAAGGTGGATTTTTAAAATTTTTTTTTCTCCTTAAAGGAAGTGTCTTCGACAGTGTTTTCACCTCGGCTGCAAAACTGGTCCCTGCTCTGACTGACACTTCTTACGCTTCTGAGCTGCCCCTTCAAACACTCTGCTAAGTCATGAGGTGCCACCTGCAGGGTGTGCAGTGCCTGTCGCAGGCACAGGTATGGCAGAAATCCATTTCATCACACAATTATTAACAATTCTCAACTGAAATCTCTTCAACCCTCAGGAAGCTTGCAGAACCCAAATATAACTTTATAAAAGAGATGAAATTTGAAGTGAATTTTACAATAAGCAGTCTTGAGCTTGAATATTTAATGCTGCTTTATGAGTGTTGAAAGTATGAAGTGCTTCTTGAAAAAAAAAAGTGGAAGAAAAGGTAATTTTCTATTAAATTGTAATAAATTGAAAGCCTAGTTTTCAACATTCCTCCCCTGTATTAGCAAAGCAGGAGGCGTGCCCTTCCACTGAAACCAAATCAGCAGAGCTGGCCACCCAGCACAGGAGATGGCCTGAAAGAACTGTGGCTGCTTTCAGAAGAGCTCTGCTCCACTTTCACAGTATGTTACTTTTTGAGATTATATTCTTTATTGTTGAGTGTTATTAAACATTATTATTTTGTTTAGAATGAGATTAATCAATGAACAGGACCTTTAAGGGCCCTTCAAACCCAATGCATTCTGATTCTATATAGCAACTAGTTAATTAGGCTTCACTAACATGAAATGCACCTTGCTTTTAATTTCTGTTGTTATTCACTCTGTTTTGTAATATTAAACTAGTTGATTTAAATATATGCTCTCTCTATAATTCTGATGTTAAGAATATGTAATAATTTTAAAGCCATTAAATGCAATTTGAAATGCAATTAAATATTAAACGGAATTTAACTTAATAATGACTCCTTTTGTGATAAATGTCGTTGACTTTTTTCACTCTCCCACACTTTATTTCATTGTTAGATAAATGAAACTAGAATTTCTGTAAAGATACCAGAGAGTGATGAAAGCACTGATACTTTTGTAGAGGTAGGTAACATTTTTTATTTATTTTCAGTGAAAAGGGTGTTGGCTTTTATATAGTTACTTGATCTGAGGAGTTGCACCGATTCTGACTAACAAACAAGACACAAGCATAGCACGGTGTATCACTTATTTTTTTTCTTATTAACTTTTACTTACAAATTGGAAGGTACTAAGCCTCTTCTCGTGGTGGTAACTTACGTCTGTGTTGTTCTGTTGAGTGTTCTTGTGCTATAAAGCTTAAAGTGAATGTACCTGATATGTTTACACTGCATTTTCTTAGATTCTTGTTTATCTCATGAATCTCTTAATTTTTCTTATTTTTATCAGTTGTAAAGAAACTATCTTTCAAGAAGGTCTGGTAAGTTCTAGGAAACACAGTACTCCTGGCAGGAGCCCAGACCATAATACAGAAAGAAATACATGAAATGGATTAATCTGTGCTAAAATCGCACTTAGCTGTGTATTGAAATTATTCTGTGGGATTGTTTGGTTGTTTGTTTTTTTTCTTTTCCCCCAGATAATTCCTTGCTTTGCCAAGTGTAGGTATGACTGGACAAGGCCTACAGAAAACACAACAAACTGCAGGCAAATGAAAACCAATCATTAGTTCAGTATTTATCATTCTTGAGTCAGTATTCTGTGCAACCTAACCAGAAACTGCTCAGTGTTTTCTGTTGCATTATGTATCCTGTATATTCAGCAGATATTTCCCTGTATGTTTGCAAAAATCTGGGAGAATAAATATTATACAGATACTCAAATGTCAAAATCATTTTAAAAAGCAGAAGACTATGTATGCTGGCTGTAGCAAATCTTGCTTTTCATCTTCCTCCTCTTAAAAGTTTTATGCTTAATACAGCAATGCTGCAATTCAGGTATTAGTTATTTTTTAACTATCGTAAAACTCTAAACAAAAGGGAAGAGAAGAGACCAAGTGAGGTCAGGCTGTAGGAGGAGATACATTCCAGAAACATGGGAGGAAGTTGGAGGGAGCAGATTCGGACTGGTAGGTCTTGTTTCTTTCAGAGTAGGGAAGAAATTTATGTAACTTAGTCAAGCGCTCAGTAGTTTTTAACTAGTTATTAACCATTTTGCATTACTTTTTAACACAATTTCTCTTCGATGTACATGAACATTGGAAATGCTAAGGTCAGCAATTCATTAACTGAAGCCAGCTTTCTCAGCTGTGCAAGACTCATTTCAAAGTGATTGTTCTTTTCCTTCTAGCGATCCTCGCAATCAGCTCAGCTGGAACATTTGTGTGTTATCTCCTTGCTGCTTTACTCGGGAGAGGATGTAAAACTGCCGTCTGTGACATCAGAGACTAGGGTAAGAGTTCTCACTTTTTTTTGAACTTTCAGTATTTCTGTAATTCCTGTTGAGTTTTGCTGTAAGCATCCTTTTAGATAGAATCATATGAAGAGATGACCTTTTAGGCATCATTGCAACAGAAGCTTTCTCTCATCTTTGTTTAAGAAACTCTAGCTGTGGCTACATTAACGTTGCAGTTTAAATCAGTATTTTCTCCCTGAAGAAAAACTCAGCAATGACATCTCATCTTGCCAGAGTAAAATTTTAAGTATTGTATGCCATCTTCAACAGAAGAGACCCCAAGGTCCTAATCTTAAATAAAATACAGGAATGCAATCTCAGCCTGCAGTAAAATACTTTCAGATAAGATTATAGCATAATTTGGGTGGAAATATTCTTTCCCTTTTAGAACTTTTAATGAAAGCAGACTAAAGGGAAGTCAGTTCTTTCTTTTCTGTGCTTTGTAGAAACTACATTAATTGATCTCTGATATTTACTATATTGTTAGGAGTGGTTTAATAGTTTTAATCTAGATTATAACTGCAGATATGGATTTGAGGTGTGAGCAGAGGGTGGCAGGAGCATCATTACAGAAGGAAAAAAACCCAAGAAATATCACTTCTCTAACTAAGGATGATGTGTTGGGAGAAAAAAGTCCCTATGCCTGTGTCACAGGATTGAGGTTGGTGCTGGCTAGATAAAAAAATGTTTGAGTGTATTATATTGGTTTGTTTAAATAGGGAAAAGAGTAGATGACTACCATGAATAATGAAAAGCTAGCAAGAGCTTTTGATGATGAGAACAGTAAAAAAAACAACAAACATTTCATTTCAGATTCTTAAGTCTTTCCACTGAATAATGTAATTTATTGTATAAGCAAAATACCAACAGCAACTGTAGTTTGAGTTCTCCATTTCACTCTTT